AACCCTCACATGTTAGGCAAGAACTTTACCACTGAGCTACCCACTTACCATCTTTTCTTATTTTATGTGAATTTCCAGAATTGGGGGAGGGGGGTTGTTCAAAAAAACATTACAGATATTTGAGATAGGAGGTGAAAAGTAATAGGATACAGTCTCAGTCTCTTTACTGAACTGGCTTTGTTTTTTCATGTCTATTTGATTTCACTTTGGTGTAGTCTTGTTCCATATATCATTATAATATATGGATTTAGAAGTTTTGTCTTATAATAACCAAGAACTTTCAGAAGAATCAGAAAATTTCTGTCTAAGTAAAAGAAATCTATTTATTTAATACTACACTGCCTATACCAGAAAGAAAATAAATGATTCTGAAAGCCAGAAGAGAAACCCACTACTTTGATTAGAGTCAATGGCCCACATCAATGTTTACAGCAGCTCAAGTCACAACAGCTAAGCTATGGAACCAACCTAGGTGCCTTGCAACAGATGAATGGATAAAGAGAATGTGATCTCTACACACACACACACACACAATGGAATATTACATATTACACAGCATAAAGAAAATGAAATGATGGCATTTGCCAGTAAATGGGTGCCAACTGGAAACTAGGGCTAAGTGAAATAAGCCAATCCCCCCCAAAACAAAGGTTGAATGATTTCTCTGATATAAGGAGGCTGATTCATAGTGGTGCTGGGAGGGGATGCATGGGAGATAAGATGAATTCTAGATTGGACAAAGGGGAGGTAAGCTGGGGAAGGGAGGGGGCAGAGGGGTAAAAAAGATAGTAAAATGAGATGGACATCATTACCCTAAGTACATGTATGAAGACACACAAATGATGTGAATATACTTTGTATACAACCAGAGATGAAAAACTTGTGCTCTATGTGTATAATATGAATTGTAATGCATTCTGCTGTCATATAAAAAAAAGCAAAACTAGGCAGTTTTGGTTAAATTACGTAGTCAAAAAAATGTGAAGAGGCAGGATGATTTCAAGTTTAAAGCTGGCCTCAGCAACTTGGCTAGACCCTATCTCAAAAGGCGCTCAATTCTTGAACAAGAGTAAAATCATTTTTTTTTTTTAAACTATTTAGGAAACTGTTGTGTGCTTCACTAGAGAGGACACATCCACCACATCTCAGGGCTGCTTTCTAGATAAACAGAAGTTCCTAGATTGAAATCTTATCAAAAGCCATGATTATAATTTTATATAATTTGAGATATATCAAAATTACAACTACCATGAGGCTGGGGGTTATAACTCAGTGGAAGAGCACACACTTATTATATATAAGGCTCTGGGTTCAATCCCTGGCACTAAGGAAAAATTATAGTTTCTGTGACACTCATTCCAAAGTGTATAAATACCATACATAGGTCCTCATTATTCTTAAAAATCCACTGAAATGGAAGAATGACAAAGAAGTTCTTATAATTCTGAGAAAGCCTACACTACACAGATATATCAATAGCCTAAGCACTTGATTTGACAGCTATGCCTCCATTTGTATTTTTGTGACAAAACTCAAAATAATCCTGACTTAAATTTGTCTGATTCTGGGAATTTTCAGATATGGTTGGCCCCATTATCCATGAGTTCTGCATCTATGGATTCAAGCAGCCATGGATGGAAAATTTTTGAGGGAAAAAAAATGCATTTGTACTAAAAGTGTATAATTTTTTTTCCTTGTCATTATTTAATAACCAATAGTTTAGCAACTATTTACACTGTACTAGGTATAAGTAATCTAGGTATGATTTAAAGTATACAGGAGGTGATATGCCTAGGTTGTACTTGAACATCTGCAGATTTTGATATCCGTGAAGTTGGAAGGTGGGAGGGGTCTTGGAACCAATCACTAAGGAATGACAAGGTATGACTGTATGTATATCCAATATAATACCTCGTTTTCATTGCAAAACTTTTGGTGACTCCTTTATCTTTTTAGGACTTTTTTTTTTTTTTTTTACTATTTAGGTTAGGTACACAACATGTTAATTAGTCTCTTCCTTTCCTAACTCACTGTGCTGTCTGACCATCTCCATTAAAGGCAATGACCTCAAGCGTTCTCTTCAAATATTTTCTCCTCTTTAAAGGACAGTGTTTTTTTATTAGAAACAACCTTCTTAAGTAAACACCATGCCCACATTCCCCCACCTTCTGAAGAAGTGTTTCCCTAGTACATCTACTAGTATTTTTAAACAGTGCCTCTAACATATGAGGTCCTATCCCCTTCTGCTTTCTCTGAAGGGTTTACTTATCCTATCCATGGTTCAGATACAGAGATAAGGAGCATAGGATCAGGAAACCCATTACCAAAATCTGAATCTGGCTTCTGTTATTTAAAATTTGTGTGATTTGGAGAAAATTATTCAAGGTTTTTTGTTGTTGTTATTTCTTTTTCTTTTCTTTTTTGTAGCAGGATTGAACCAGGTACCACTTAACCACTAAGCCACATTCCCAACCCTTTTTAGTTTGAGACAGGGTCTCACTAAGTTATTTAAGGCCTTGCTAAGTTGTTGAGGCTGGCCTTGAATTTACAATCCTCCTACCTCAGTCTCCCAAGTCACTGTGATTACAGGTAAGCACTACCACACCTAGGCTCAAGTTTTCTAATATACAAAAGTGTGAGTGATAACACCACCTAATAAATAGCCATCATGAGGACTAAATGAGACAGTGCGATGTGACTTTTGCAGAATGCCTGGCATAGAAATAGAACTTGTTACTATCATTATTATTAATAAATACCTCTTATCACCATTTATTTAAACATGCTCAAGTCTATGGAGGTGGCTTTTTGCATTTCAATTCTTTCCTTACCCATAGCCTTCTCTTCATGCTTTTTCCCTGTCATTTCTAACCCTCCAGCTGTATTTTTTTTTTAATTTTTTTTTTGTTATCGTTGTAGATGGACACAATACCTTTATTTTATTTATTTATTTTTACATGGTGCTGAGGATCAAATCCAGTGCCTCACACGTGGCTAGGCAAGTTCTCCATCACTAAGCCACAATCCCAGCCCCACAGTTATGTTTCTTAGCACTTTGTGAAATTATTTCCAGCAAAGTTGTCTCCTTACTAAATACAGCTTTTAGTAAGCATGCCAACTAATTTATATGCAGAGTACAAAACATTTTAAAAATAACAGTTGAAATAAAACATACGTAATTATTTTAACATCCACATACCCTCGATTAAAACATAACTTCGAATGTAAAGACTCCCATTTTCTTATACTATTACATCAGAAAATGTAACAAGAAAATAAATCAATGTTCTAAAAAAAAAAAAAAAAATCAAAACCCTGTTAAGACACAGAATGTTTTATCTTTTACTAATTTCTTCAGTATAATTTAAATGGTATACTTTTAAAGGAATATTTGTGAATCATCTTTTTGATCATAAATACAAAGCAAATGTTACAACTTTTATTTGAAAATTTGGTAATTAAAAAAAATTACAAAGTAAAACCAAAAATACATGCATAAATTTGCCTCTAAAAATCTTAAGAGTTAAATTAAATGCCACATATAAAACAGATTCTGAGAATAAAAAAATATATTTATATAGTAACTAAAGGCTTAAGGAATTTTTATTAAGGAATAAGGAATAAATTTGTGACAAGAAAATTTTAATCACAAATTTTGCCTTGTACATTTTTAGCTTTTAACTTTCAGAATTCAAGTTTTCAATCCTCCCAAACTAAAAGAAGTATGGAACAACAGAAACATTCCCACAAACTGGCATTATCTTCAGGAGTAAAAAGCCACTATTAATTCTATGAGCACTACTACTCAAAGAATCTTCCCCAGCAACCAATAGGACTACTCTCCCACACTTAGCAGTCCTTTTCCAAAGGTTGTTGTTTGAGAAAAATCTACACTGCAGTTGCTATTATTGGTAGTATCAGAGCCAATATTTTGGATAGAAAAAATGGCTAGGTTGTAAAGGAGAAAGTCAACTTAACCACTGGTTATTGCTACCTATGCCCTGATCCAAGTACCCAGCATGGAGATAAGTGTGGGGGACAAAAAAAAGATCAGAAATCCAGGCCAGAGGAAGAAACACTTTTCCCTATTACATACAAAGGTGCATAATAAGCTAGCTTGTGGTTTTGGACCTACCTGAAAAGTAAAAAGAGGCTGTCGGACAGTACCTGATTGGGGAAGGTAAAGAAATTAACTTCCACTTAGTACCTATTCTATACTTAGTAATATTCTTGGTACCTAAAGAAGTATTATTAGATTATTTCCTTTAATATCTTTTTCTCTATCATAAGGGGCATTATTATTCCCCATAATATATATGAGAAAAACTGCAAATTCAACTAAACTGCAAAATAAGAGGAAGGAAAAAAACCTGCAGACTCAAGTAAATTACCAAATAACTGAATCTGAGTTTTTCTCAGGTTTATCTTTAGTGAAAAAGGTAGAGATGTGTTGAATGTGCCAGACCTGGAGTAAGAACGATTTTTTTTCGTGGTGGTGGGGGGGTGTTCCATAATTTACTTCCTCCTAGGTATTTTCAGGATACAATAAATATCTATTAAAAGGTAGGTTAAGAACTCCATAGTGTGGAGTCTAATATTCCCATGAGGTTGGCCATATATAATAAATTTTATGTGTTCTCCCCCCGCCTTTTTTTAAAAAAGAAATACCATAGCTTATTAAGACCCCAAACATCTGTCTTAGCAGCAGAATGAAACACAATCATGTCATGATTAACAAAACTAGAAATCTGAGATACTCACTTGAGAACCAAAACTTTAGTAACTACTGGCTTACAGTTACTGGCCTCCTTATGGATTAATGCCTAAATGAGGCCATCATACAACACACGTTTTGAAATAAAATGTCTCTAAATGAAACTGAATAGAAATTAACATCATGATGCTCCAGTTTCCTTAAAAGAATAAGGACTATTTTCAAGATCACATTTTACCAATGCATAAACATTACTCTTTGTGCTCTAATTAAAGTGTCTCCTCACCTGAGGGCGTGTTCATCAAATTCTGCTGCACCGGTGGACTGGTTGGGGCTGGAACATTCATCTGAGATAGCATGGCCTTCCTGGGGTCTTGCCATGTTGTAGTCTGATCAATGTGACTGAGACAAAACAAACCACTGCATTAGATTAACAAATACAATGCCCTAAACCCAACAAATCCCCTATCAAAACAGAATAGATATGAGGACTAATAACTAATTATTTCACTGCTCTCACTCTTCCTTTGCAACGTTTCTTCATCAAAATTTGCCTCTTAAATTTTTTTAAGTGTAAGATATGAAAAAGTTATGCCTGGAATTTTAAGTGAAGAAAAATAATTCCCACCTAGTAGACAATTATTTCTTACTTCTAACTTAAAGATTAAAATGCAGTTTCTAAATTAAGCATCTACAACAGTCATCATATAACTAAAATTCAAGATTCACAAGAGACTTGCCCACTTTTTTCTCCTAGAGCTAAGAATGTCAAATAACATATCATTTTTAGGCCTAAAACCCCTTTTTAAAAGTACAACACAACAAAAACAAAACCCTGAAAGTCAAATTATAATAAATACTCCAGTTTTAAAACATAACTGAAAACTTCATCTATAGGTTTTAATTTTCTCCTATGATTTGAGTAACTACGTATGTCTACACAAAATTTTTGTTACTTGCTAAACATTTCCTCCATATTGAGAACTTACTGTAAAATATATGTATCCCCATAAAATTGGGGATGAAAACAGCTAAAGTCTATGAAAGATAAAAACTACAAGACATCTAGCAGAGTGACTGGTATATGGACTTTCAATAAATATTAGTTTTATTTTTCCAGCAAAGGTTCATTGTTTCAGTGAAACAAAACTACAAACACTATATAAATAAAACTACCTAAAAATTTATTCCAAATAATAGCCAGAAGAGTGCATGAACTTCTCTTTAGAAACACATTTTCTGGGGCTGGGGTTGTGGCTCAGCAGTAGAGCGCTCAACTAGCATGGGCAGGGACCCGGGTCCGATCCTCAGCACCATATTAAAAAAAAAAAAGGCATTGTGTTGTGTCCACCTACACCTAAAAAAATAAATATTAAAAAAAAAAAGAAAAAGAAACACATTTTCTTTTTTTTTTTTTAATTTTTTATTGTTGGCTGTTCAAAACATTACATAGTTCTTGATATATCATATTTCACAATTTGATTCAAGTGGGTTATGAGCTCCCATTTTTACCCCATATACAGATTGCAGAATCACATCAGTTACACATCCATTGATTTACATATTGCCATACTAGTGTCTGTTGTATTCTGCTGCCTTTCCTATCCTCTACTATCACCACTCCCCTCCCCTCCCCTCCCCTCCCCTCCCCTCTTCTCTCTCTGCCCCCTCTACTGACATTCGAAAGAAACACATTTTCAATAGCAAAAATTTTGAGGCCAGTAAATGTCCAATGATAGGAGATCAGTTAAATAAATATGTTTACATATGATGACTACTTTGCAGCTATTAATATTTTAGAATATTTAACAGCATGAAAAACATTCATAATTCCGTTTTTAAAAGGTTATATAATAGTATGTAAAACATAAGGCTAATTGCTAAAAAGAATACACAGAATACATGCATATGAAAAAAAAAAACAAAGAGTACATGTATGTAGTTAAAGCGTATAGGAAAAAAAAACATTAAAATGTTTTATCAGTGTTTATTTTCAATAATAAAATCATATTACAATTCTGCTATGCTGGAGGTGTAGGTCAGCAGTAGAGTGTTGCCTAGCATGTGCGAAGTCCTGCATTCAACATGTGGCACAGTAAAAACAAAATTAAGTAGAAAATAGACCACTTTGCTTTGCTAGGGTTCTCTATTATTAAATAATTATGAACTCATTATTTTTAAAATGGGAGAGAGAAATGGAGTCATTTTCCAAAAGGAAATCTCAAAATCATTTGTAGTTATTAAAATTTTAAATCTGAGTTCTTACTTCTTGAGTCATCCCATGACAAATAACCAAGAAAATCCTTAAGAAATGACATCCTGTGTCTTAACTGTATGGAAATAGAACTGGAATTCTACCTTATCATTAGCATAGTAAGAAAGGGTCATTTACTCAGAATAGGCCTTAGATTTGGAGAAGAGTTCTTTTAGCTTCTCAGCAAGCAGAAAGGGGATGAATTAAGAAGGGTCTATATACTTAGGGATGACAATGGTACCTGCCACTTTAAGGCTATTACAGAACTATAAATATTAAGAAAAATATTTATTTATTTAGCGAAGTATGCAATGTCTCCTCCCAGCAACTCTTTTTTCAGTGTCTGTATCTGTTTTATAGCAGCAGCACTAGCTTTTGTTCAGGTCTAGACAATACAGGACATACTTTATTCAAGTTTTGTTATCTAAACACTTTATTCTAAAAGACCAAGTTTTCATCAAGCTCAGTAAAGGTGTGTTCCTCTTCCCTTTCAATCTTCCATGTGAGCCAAGTCACTTAATCTTAACAAATTGTAGGAACTTTTTTTGCTTCAGAAATGGAGAGCAAACCTAAGGCCTTGTGTATGCTAGTTAAGCTCCACCCCCGAGCTAAACCCACAGGCTCCATCCTCTTTTTAAGTGATTTTTTTTCAATTCTTCTGAGAGACTCAGAATGACACATCATCATCCTCACTATTGAACTCTAGTCCTAAGGAAGTAAGATTTCAGGTAGCATTTAATGGTTTCCCCACCAATTTGATGGCAATGACAAAACTGTCACCTTTCCTAAGATCAGAACCCCTATGTGTTGAAGGTCCAGGTTTGAGTTTTACAAGACTTACATCTCACAGAAGGATAATAAACTCTTTTTAAATATTTCTATATACTGTATCCTTAATTAACTAGTGGGATCATGCAAAGTCATTGTTTGAATGATTTATTTAAGAATTTCTGCCTTTTGGGGTTCCTACATTTTGCTAAGTCTTCCAATATGAAAGACCAAATTATACAATGTGAAGATACAAAAATCAGTAGGGAAAGGCTGCTGCTGGACACAGACCTTGGTCCAAGTATAGCTGTGTGAGTTTTATCAGTCAGTTTTATTGTTTCCCAGATAGAGTGAGATGACAGGGTTTAACTTGGTCATATATCCAATGGCCTTTTCTTTCCAAAAACAGTAGCAGAGAATAATTTATTTACATATCTTGAAAAGAATGTAGAATTTCACATTTATCAATTAGACTGTTCTTAGGAACAAGATAAATTAATCCTTCTAATTATTTTCTATTTTTAACTCTGAAAATACTGATTTATAAGACAAGTACCTGGAGTGGGCTTAGACAACCTATGTTGCTTTAAAAAAAAAAAATCCTTTATGTAAATCAACAGTGTTGTCAACTATACTTACTTAATATCAATCACTGATACTTTGGAAAGATCTGCTATTACTTCTTGAAGCTCCTCATGTAATCTTTCCCCAACTGAACCACAAAGAACTATTTGACTTTTTAAAGACCCACGTGGCTACCTTTTGTGGAAAAGTAAGATAGACATATATTAAAACTCCAGCTCTGTCAATGACAATCTAGATTGTGCAGGCAAGATTTATTAATCTGCTTCATCTTCAGTATGATGGGACTGATTTTGCTGAATGTGTTGGTACACACCTGAAATCCCAGCAACTTGGGAGGCTAAGGCAGGAAGATTACCAAGTCTGAGGTCAATCTAAGCAATTTAGCAAGACACTGTCTCAAAATAAAACCCAAAAGGACTAGAGGTATAGCTCCATGGTAAAGTGCCCCTGGGTTCAATCCCCAGTACCAAAGGAAAAAGAAGGGGGAGGCCTCACATTATTTCCTTACTTCCTAGGGTTATGAGGATTAAATTCAGTAACATTTATAAAACCAACTAGGACTATGGCTCCTGGTATACAAAAGTCCCTCAAACAGTTTACCTGGCTTCATTCCTTTGCTAGCTTGACATTTAGAATAGGAAAAACTGTGGTGAATGGGCCAAAAATATGTTTAAGAGTTCATTCAAGGGAGGATGAGAGATCTAGGGCTTTAAGAGCTTTAAAAGGAATTTGGTTTTCATCTGGTAGATGATAAAAAGATGCCTTAAGTAGACACATTAGATTTTGATGCAGGGAACAGAACAAAGTGTTTCTAAATGATTAGTTCAATCTACACAAAGCTATCCCGTTAGAATTAGGAATGAACTAGAAAAGGAATCCAGCAAGCGAAGACATACTACTTCCTAGAAGAAGAACTATAAAGTAAGTTGAGAATAAAAGAAAAATTTCATTCCTATAACCAAGTGTCAAGATATAATTGTTGGAAACTTCTCTGTACAAATATTTCTTAACTTAAGCTAGAAGATGATCAACCCTGTCAATTTAAACCGAGGTAGAGAACATTTCTAAGTACCAGCTATAGATCATCCCAATAAGTTCTAAAACTTCAAATTCTTGGCTGTTTTATTTTCAAGTACTGAATCTTATTATCTACAGGAGACTGGTTAACATAATAGAAAATGGGCTTTATAGTAACAGGAAAATGTTGAGATTTTCTTACATGTACCCTCAAATTTTAGGATTAATTTTATGCTGCTAATTTATCAAAGTACCACAGAATTAAGGTAAAGTTAGCAAAATAAAAGTTAGTGATTAATATTGATTCTAATAGTGTGATAAAGGTTGTGGCCCTCTTCCTAGGGCCAGCAACACTAATAACACCTGAGAGCTGGTCAGAACCACAGAACATCAGGCTCCATTTCAATCTACTGATGAAGATCTGCAGTTTAATAAGATTCACAGGCAATCTTAAAGAATAAGTAGTACTGCCTTAGAGACTATTTTGAGACTTGCTCAACTGTTTTTTTTTAAAAGGGTGAAAAATTTCTGAATTATAAACACTACACACTTCAGTCTGAATGGCAATTATCAAGAATACGGGCAACAATAAATGTTGGCAAGGATGTGGGGAAAAAGGTATACTCATACATTGCTGGTGGGACTGCAAATTAGTACAACCACTATGGAAAGCAGTATGGAGGAGATTCCTCAGAAAACTTGGAATGGAACCACCATTTGACCCAGATATCCCACTCCTCAGTTTATACCCAAAGGACTTAAAATCAGCATACTACAC